ATCATTAATAGATTAAAAATAATAAAATTAAATTTTAATATTTGTTAAAACTTAAAACTAAATTGAATCATTAATTAGTTAAGACAAAATAAAATTGAAAAATTAGCTATCGTTCGCTTTGCAATATTTTAAATCCAGTTCATATATCGCCAATTTCTCTTTTTGCTTTAACTTCTCCTCTTTTAGCCTGAATCTCATGTTCATCTTATCCTCCTTCATGCGCAATTTTTTTAGTTCCAATTCTTTGTGAAACTCGAATTTTTCTGCTTCAAGTTGAAGCTTCCGATTTTGGAACTCCTCTCGTTTGCGTTCAATATCGTTTAGTTCCTGAATGGCGGATGTTTGTTTATTACGTCTTAAATTGTTTTCGAAACGAATCCTCCCTGGTGTAGTTTTTTTTTGTGTGTTAACCTCGCTTCTGTTAGTAGTGATCTGTTACACAGTATTTTCTGTCAGTATATCTGCATCAAATATCATGCTAAATGGTGTTGCTTCTTCGCTGTTCGCTATTTCAACGCCTGCTCGTTCGCTGGTACTATTCAGTTCTTACACTGACACCTCCTTGTCGCATACCATAGCAGAAGATTGTAAAACAATTTTGTTGCTCCAAGCTTTCTCACCAAATATTTCCGACAATTGGTCATAATATGGACACATCAATTTTACCTTATCTACAAACAAAAAGGAAACATTTAAATAACATTTATACTAACACAAAATTGATTTTAATTACCTTTTATAGATGTGACTTCTTCGTCATCTAGCAAGCCGGCGCCAGTAGACTTGCGCCAATTGTTTGCCTTAACAAAACTTTGCTTAAAATATCTCATCTTAAATCTTACTAAGTCCCACGTTGTATCAATTTTTGTCACTTCTAATAGTATAATTTATAATATATTTGGGCTGTTGGTTTCTATAATTAAAACGAATCAAGTTTTGTGAAAATAATAAAAACAAATTGTCATCCAACCTCAAAATTAGACGTATCCCAGGCTTTCGACAAAGTTTGGCATACAGGTCTACTAACAAAAATAAGAGACATTTTTCCGTTGGAGTATTTCGATATGGTTTCTTCTTATTTGACTAATCGTTACTTCCGTGTTAAGCATGGAAACGATTACAGTGAACTCCAAAAAATCAACGCTGGGGTACCCCAAGGCAGTGTACTTGGTCCTTTGTTATATTTAATATACACAAATGATTTGCCAACGAGCTCAGTCTGGCTTAACCAAACAACGAAAGGTTTTATTATCATCCTAAATATTTTATTATAGTTGTTTGGCCTAACCAAACAACGAAGCGTCTTATCAGGATTCAATAATTCGAATCCTCCCTATATATAAGGGGAAAAATATTAGAGATAGTTTAGTCAAGATTCACATTTAATAAAGAAGTCGCAAAAACTAAAGTATTGTGTCTTAATTAATACTAGGGTCGCCAGTGGTCGAAATTCGACCAATAGAAAATACAATTTATTTATTTTAATAGTATTTAAATTTTATTGATGAATTTGATTAAAATATGAACAAAATCTAAAGAAAGTTGTAGAAAACAATTTAAAAAATAAATTAAAATTTATAATTTCATCTCGTGCAAAATTATTTGTTGTGTTTCTGGTTTTGGCTTAATTCTTCCTTGTATTATCAATCCAATCAAATCGTTTAATTTAAATTTTTCGTCATATGTGACCACATATGCACCTGCGAAAAAAGAAAATAATTAGTATAAAATATGAAATATGATGAATTGTTTGAATGAAATACCGATAAAGTTTCGAACTGATGCTCCATTTTGAAATCTTTTCAACAAATAAATTATCTTAACATCTGCTCCGTACATTTGTTCTTCAGGTGATATCGGAAAGTTATCAGTATAGGAATCAGCAATTTTGTAGAACAGCACCTTCTTCTAAAGAAATTCGAAATTCTGACGCAATTTATTGCGTCAATTTATTGCATAATTTCGACAATGCGACTTTGCACAACATCTCGCTCCCGTGTTAATTATCAAACAAATTCCTATACTCTGCCATCACGAAATCAAATCGCGGTATGCAGTGAAGGCAAGAAACAAAGAAATGAAATTGGCAAATGAACGAATGAAAAAAATTAAATATTGAAAAACATTTAAACTGAATGAAATCTAAAATGATAATAATGCATAATAATAATTCTATATTTTATATCACGAAGTTCTCAAAACTTCAGTGTAAACAATATTTTTTGTAAAAACCCTTTCATCATTAGCCAAATGACCTTGTCCACCTTCATTACTGACATAAAATTTAAGTCCGTCAAATGATCTAACTCAACTGGCTGCAACGTAAAGTTGACCATGCGAAAAAACAGGTCTCCTCAACAATATTCCAACTCTATCAAATGTCTGTCCTTGGGATTTGTTAATTGTCATAGCAAATGCGCTGATGACTGTGGAAACTGTGTTCTTTGAAAATTAAATGGCAGTGCAGTCCCTGAATACGTCAAGTGTATGCGTGGAATCAAAACACGTTTTCCGCGAGCAACTCCAGTGAGTACTTCACAATCTATTGTGTTATTATGCATTGCTTTGACTCGCAGCAATACCACTAAATGCACACGAAATACAGCGAAGATTAAGGGAATTTAATTTACGAATTATAGCCGTTTGTGTGAATGTTTTCCCACAACCTGCATGGGATGTCAAACAAAACACATTTGATCCTGTATCGTAATACTGAACTTCACGAATAACTTTATCAATAGTATCACGCTGTTCATTATTTGCGCAATCATAAAGCTCATTAAATAAACATTCTTCTACGAAAGGATCAAAAATATCGAGATCAGCAAATTCTGGCATTATTGTAGGTGTAGGCAAACCAAGTGACGTACATGTAACATTATGTGTTAACAAAATATCCTCGATTTCCAATAATACTCTATTAAAATAAACATCTACACTACAACCATCTCTAACGAAATCTTCGCTTAAATGATCTCTAAATTCCACCCAAAGCGCTAATGCATTTGCTGGAATATTGAAGGCACAATTAATCGCAAACAAATTACGCATTTGTTTTCCTGAGTTAAATGTCTTAGCTTCATTGAGAGAAACTCTCCACTCGTTATAATTGGACGCAATTCCCCTAGCATGACATGCTTCGATAAATGTCCTATAAACCATTCCATTGAATGTACGCACATCTTCATATGATTTTGGCCCTTTTACATGCAACAAAAGTAATCTTAAATGGAATTGCTCAATTTCTTTGGGAGACACCATATACATCCGAGTAATAATTTTATCTCCTCCTCGTTGTCTTTTTTGCCAAGATTTTCTACTATCAATCCAAACATAATGCAATGAAATTTCTATATACGTATATTGATTAGCAGATGAATCACTTTGATTCAATTGAAAGAAAGCTAATAGCTTCGTAAGCTTAGGATTTTCTACTGCTTGTCTTTCTTGGTCTTCGCGAAATATAATATTTTGTCTTTGTGTCAAATGAATGTGAAGACGAATTATAGTATGAGACTGAAAATGCATAGGAAATTCATATATTCGCCACATAGCCTCAGTTGATCCCACATATCGACCATTCAAAAAATTTCTAACGTCATCTACTTCAACTTGTACTTGTTAGTCATTTTCGTTTGTGCTTTCACTTTGAATTAAAACAGTTGCACTATCAAAACCCTTATATACATATTTATATATGTACTTAATACTTTTGACGGAAGTGCACACCTCGACATTAATGTGACAATTATATTTTGCAAACAAATACGGGTTGTATGGAACGACATAACGATTATCTAGAGACTTTCCTCTAACATCAACGGAAACATTATTATCGCGCCGTCTATACAACGGATAACCATTAACTGATTCTTTCGTTAATTGCACAAAATCCTTTGGAAATTGTTTTGAATATTTTCCATCTTGCATACATACAGAGCTTGGATTCAAAACACCGCAAGGACCGTGCATCATGTGTTTGACAACAAATTCATGTAATTTTGGCTGCAAATTTTTATCCGGTATCTCTGCACAAACTATTTTATCAATATCAGCCGGCCCGACAATTTTGTCATTTTCACATAAAGTTATCAAAATGTGAGCATGAGGCAAACCTCTTTTTTGAAATTCGATTGTATATATAAGAGCCTCAACTTTGCCAAAAATATATTTATTCCAAATGTCAGAAATGAGTTCTTTTAACTTCGATTTAAATACACGCACAACTATTTCAGGCCTGAAATGAGATGATTCATTAGGATCAATATTATATACAATTTCCGCCCAATTCTGATTGCAAGTCATTGTAACAAAAAGCGATGGCTTGCCAAAATACTGAACAATTGACATTGCATCTAAGTAATTTTGATACATGTTTCTCGGAGACCCAGTGAAGGATGAAGACAAAATCACTTTACGACCTAAGCTACCATCTCCTACTTGATTCGTTTGCAAATAATCACTAATATTGTTATACACATCTGCCCTCAAATTTACTTGATTCTGTCTTATAAAATGTAGTCGACATCCTTCTATTCTCACGTACATATCAACAATGTATTGCAAAAATAGTTTTTGCGATTTATGCAAAAAGCTAAATTGATCCCTTATTGCAAATCTGAAGCATGCAAATTGTAACATTGTAACTTTATTTCGAATCTGCCTACCATTAGAATTATGTTGCACGTTATGCGATATATTAACGTGCCAACCAAAATCTCCATTTGGGAATAGTAAAGGATATGCCAATGGTTCCAAAGCAGAATCTAATACTAATACATTCTTAACTACACCATTTGTTTTTAAAAAAGATATCATATTTCTCTCAAATGGTGGTTCATCATCTATAGTCGTAAATATTATATCTTCGTATATCTGTATCACGATTCACGATAATTGCCATACAAATCTCTTTTTGTGCATTGCATACTCTATCATAATGTTCTTTCATTGTACAAAATGAATATCTCTCGAATTGAAGTGTTGTTAATGTCGATTCAACCAATTAATTAACCTTAACTATCACACAATTCACAATTAAAATTCATCACAATTAAAATTTAACTATCACACAATACACTTGAAATAAATCTAAAAATTTCAAACTCATTAACCTTAACTATCCACATTTCACAATAAAAATATATCACAATTAAAATTTATCAAAATTAAAATTTATCACAATTAAAATTTAACTATCACACAATGCAAATAAAACGATTCATATCAAAGGATATTTCCACTTCAATGCGTTTTTTTTATTCACAAACAATATTTGAAATTTAATGAGCTTTAAAAATCTTATTGTAACAGAATCCACAAAGTCCAAACACACAAAGTCCAAACACACAAAGTCCACTTGTTTCCAAAAGTGGAAAAAAATCGCACACACAAATCCACCGTAAACAATTAACAATTCGTCACAAAAAAAAACTTTGAAAAACACATGTATTTTGTTGTTGTAGTCGCTAAATTTACGCGAACGCATTTTTACCTGTGTTTCCGTTAACGTACATGCGAAAAAATAACGTTGTGCTCTTCTGCACGTCTTCACCTTTCCAACGGTATAAATTTTATCCATATATGTCAACGGCAACACAGTTAAAACGGGGTAACAAACTTTTATGTAGCGTAATTATATAT